AGGTAGCAAATACGGTTATAGGCAAAATAGTCTGTAATTTAATATATGTCGCCTATATGCGCTTAGTCTGTTTTATACTGTAGCCTATAAACATGTCTTTTCTTGGCGGAAGTAACCATATTTTTTCGAGAATGCGTTTTTTCCCACCCACTTTCAAAATTCGGCGCCCCATTTTCATTTTTGCGCCCCCCAAGCATTGCCAGCTGGGGGGGCCATGCCCCCCCCCCTGCCAGCACGCCACTGCTAGGCTTAAACAAAAGTTCAAATGCCAGTGAAAGAACTCAAATGTTGTTAAATTAAGAAGATATCTCATGGTTCAAGAAGATTATATTTATAATATTGCCACCTGAGCAACCTTTTGTTTACAATTATATCACAATTTATCACTCAAAAAAATAAATAGTTTTGCTGAATCATGACTTAAGTTCATCTCCAGGCAAAGCAGGATCATGTAAACAACCTCTTAAATAAAGCCGGCATGCCGTGGTAATATATATAAAGAGTCAATCTGGAGTAACATGATTACAAAATTGCTGTATCGCATTCTTACCATAGTGTTTTACTAGTTTACAGTCATAGCAATGAATGAATGCCTAACATATTCTACCAATTCATTGGTCACATGAACCAAAAAATTCTAGAACCAACAAAAATAATTTCTAGAACCCATTTGAAAGTAATGCTCAGTTGTCCCAGTTTGAAATGAAATCGTTTTATACTAGACGTGATAATCTGTATTTTGCCATTGTAAACAGAATGACAGCAATTCATTCAGGAAGTTATCAATTAAGTTTAAAAAGAATTAATATTGAATAATGAATATATTAAGTGTAAAAAACTAACATTTAAAAAAAAATGTATATTGGTCGGTGCATATGAGCAAATGAATACACCCTTTCGATAATTACATCGTTTGGCCTGGGAGCCTTGCTCTCATGAATCGTGAGCCAATCACCTCACATAATTTACTGATGAGAGCGAGGCTCCAAGACCGAAAAGTATGTGTGACGTAATTATTCGAAAGATTGTATTCACTTGGTAGAATATTTTAGGAACACCTCTATTGCCACAACAGTATAATAGAGAGTTTAAAATAGTTGCATGCTCAGCTGGCTATGCTATCATTGCATGCATGCAAAGTTGAAATATATTTCTCCTTTTTAGTTTTTTTATGTGACACTGCCATTGGGTTAATTAAGCAAAATTATTATAGTTTTGAAATGTGAACCATATAGGTTTGAAAAGGTTCTGGGCTTTTACAGTAGCAACCATGAGCATGTAGGATGGGAATGCAACAGCAACTACACCCTGATAGAACCAAATGATTGCAGAGGCATACATGTCGTCTATTCAGGACCATAGCGAAGAGGATAAATATTGGGGGGGGGGTGTAGTCTCACATTTGATGAGTCTAGCAGACATTTGTTGAGTTCGTGATGAATAGGGGTGTTACAACCCTGCCCACACACCCATCTAGCTACGTCGCAGTGTCTATTATCCATCATATGAAAAATAATGCAGTTTAAGGATCAACGTTAACACAGGGTTAATGATTGAGAAAAATTCTAGAACCCATTTGAAAGTAATGCTAAGTTGTCTCAGTTTGAAATGTAATCGTTTTATACTAGATGTGATCATGATAATTTGTATTTTGCTGTTGTAAACAGAGTTCTGCATGTCTGAAACTCCTGTGGGATGTTAATTGTTAATTTCTGTTCATTTTCTTGTGTTAATATTAGGAAGTTTACGATCTGCGACGCGGCCAGCTCAACGACACGGTCTACATTTTAGCTCAAGAATGAGCGCTAAGCAATTCGATTACTGTAATAAATATCTGTCTCTTTCAAATAACCTTACAAAATGCTACGTTCGGCTAAAGCGATGCAGTGTTTGCTTAATTTCGACTTTTAGTAACACCTCTTGTGTCGCATTAAGCTTTCGCGTTGCCTGAAAGACGTAATAATGCTTTTTTAACGTTGTGTTGAGAATGACAACGCGGTTGACAATACTCATGGGCTCACAAATTATTGACAGTTTTTGTCTTGCATGATAAATTTCTTTGTAAGTTCTTTGTAGGTTGCATGGCGATAAAACACATAATACTATTGTTTGTGGAAACACCAAGTTTCTTTGTTTTGAAAGCGCGTCGTCGAGCCGGTGTCCCAGTTGATTTGGACCCCCGGTCCATATCCACTAGTAGATATGGACCCCCCGGTCCAAATCTCCTAGCAGATATGGACCCCCGGGGGTCCAAATCTACTAGTAAATACGGACCCCCGTTGGCGGATTTGGACCCCCTTCAAAAGTTAAATATATGTAATGTGAACACAATAATATAAACCAAATTAATAATAGCGATCAATCTGAAGTATTTTATCATAGGAAAATAGAACACAGTGTGACTAAGGCCCGTTTCATACGTCGCACTATCGTCGAATTTAATTCAGACGAATTTAATTGAACCAATTAAATGCGACGTTAGTGCGTCGTATGAAACGAATTAAATCCGTCTGATGAATTAAATTCGTCCAAGACGTTGTATCCGTCATGGTCAGACGGATACAACGTCTGTAGCGCGTCTTCGTTCCATACGACGTGTTATCGTCGTGTCGAATTAAATGCATAAATTATGTTAAAGTCTGTTTCTCTCTTTCTGGTCTCGTGGTTTTTACTTCTGGGTAATCCATGATCGCTAGACATGAAATGAATTCGTCTGAATTAAATTCGTCGTTTGAAACGAAACGATTTTAGTGTCGACCAATTGACGAATTTAATAACGAATTAAATTCGTCTGAATTAAATTCGACGTGTGAAACAGGCCTAAAATCTATGTAATACTATAGTATTTGCCAATAACGAATCACTGTTTAACAAAAGCGATAGAAATGGCATTTGGATCGACAAGAAACACGATTTTCATGAATGTTTTTGAACAATCAAAGTGGTGGTGACTCATCTAAATGGAAGCCTGTGACCATCCACCAATGATTTTTAACAAAAACCATAGAAATAGCATATTAGAGCAACGCTACCATGAATATTTTTAAACAATAAGTGATGTTTGTGAGTCTTTGCTAATGGATTTTTTAACAAAAGCCATAGAAATAGCATATTAGAGCAACGCGACCATGAATATTTTTGAACAATAAGTGATGACTTATCAGTTGCCTTGCAGCTATATAAATGTCTTAGTGTCATTCGCGATTTCAATGCGAATAGAACTATAATCTCTGTTTAACGCAAAATGGCTGATTTGACTGCATACGAAGAAGTATTTCATTATCTTCGCGAGAACGAGTACCCCAATTCTTACAACAAAGACCAGAAGAGGAACACCGTTATTGTGGTTGTTTTTAGTATATAAAAGTGTTTAAAAAACGGAGGTCCATATCCGCTAAAGGGGGTCCATATCTACTAGGAGATTTGGACTGGGGGGTCCATATCTACTAGGAGATTTGGACCGGGGGGTTCAAATCTACCGAGGGGTCCAAATCCGCTGTGACACCGGCCGCGTCGTAGATCGTAAACTCCCTATTAATGATTTATTAGCCATCCTTGTTGCACTTTCATTCTGCTTGACTAATAAATAAATGTTGAAATTCTTAATAACAGTAGTTCTTTATGATGTTAAACCTAGATTAAACCTTGCTTAATTAAGTTTGTTAGTGTCGCAGTTTTAAGCCTGCCTGTGTGATTTTCAAAACAGAGTAACGCTTGACTTGACTGTTGCATATTCAAATGTAATTGTTCTTTTACAATACGATAATCATCAGCAAGACTCTTCACCAATTTTTCAGTTAGACATGTGTGTGTTTCACAGAAATATACCTGACTATCATCAGGCTATTAATAACACATGGTTACTTTAAACAAATTTATTTTAGGAATTAGCTAGAATTGCACTTTCCAGGCATGTCCACAGACTGCTCAGAAAGCAAGCTGTGTGCAAGCTTATATACTCAAAACCAGCCCACCCCACTCATAAAAATTGCTGCGTGGGTTCTGAATGTGCTGATAGCACTGTAGCTAGTGAGTAGGCCGTGGCACATAACTTAAGGAGAGGTGGAAATCTAATTAAGCCGACCCTTAGCAGGTTCCAACCATCCCCCTTAAAGTTGGGGGTATGTGCTTTTCACATTTGTGATGAAATTCTATTTGATGAATCTAATATTAAACATGCATGTCTACTATATATAGTCTTGGCAATTTGAATAGAATTGTGAGATTTCATGCAATAATTGGAAAATTTTCATTTATATACTTACTGTATTCTGTACCATTCAGAGGTCGCAAAAAAATTTTTCAGGTAAAATTTGAAATTTTGATACTTTTAGGTAGATTTAACCAAACACACCCCCCCCCCAGAAGCGAGTTCCTCGCGACGGCACTGCATATGCATAATACAGTATGTATATATAACACTATTGTTTGTGGAAACACCACGTAAATGTGTACACCACGTAACTAGTACACCACGTACGTTTGCACAAACAATAGTATTACATGTTTCACAGTATGTATATTTATTGTCATAATAATATTTAATAATAATATTTAATATTTATATTGGCAAATTAACATGTTATAGTATATGATCAAATGCGCATAGATGTCTTATTGTTCAAACAATAAGTATAAATATCTGTGGCACAGGGGTCTGCAGGCAATCTAAATCAGAGCTAGATCAGTTTACTGTACATCTTAGTGAAGACATTTTTTGCATGTCACATACAATGTCTTAACACACAAAAAGACACATAAGGGAACATTTTTTGGTTTCGGTTAATAAAAATTTCAGTATTAGCCACCCAAATTTTGCCTGATACTGCTGGATGTCGTGGATGTTTATTTTTTACCGGATACCATTATCCGGATCCGGTACTTCCCTAATTCTGAGCTTACCTTAAACTGAACAATTGAGCAGTCTTTGTTATAATTATTGCATTTAATTTATTCTTAAACATATTTATGCTTTAAGTGTATTCTATGTCTATATGCATTGTTTAGGAAAGTATGTTGAACGTCTTCGCGGTGCTGAAAAGAAAATCGAGACATTTCCATGTCCCACATGTCGCTCAGAGTTTACTCTCAAATCAAACCAAGATGTCGCTGAACTGCCAAGCAGTTATTTCATTAAGAATATGCTGGAAATTATGGCGATTCAACAAAAAGCGAAAACATCCACCACATGTTCACGCTGCCAAAATCCTGCCATTAGTCACTGCTCATCATGCGAAATATTTTTGTGTAAGAAATGTTCAGAGTGGCATGATAGTTGGTCATTGTTGAAAAACCATCATGTGTTATCTGTACAGGAACTGAGCAATCCTAAAAGTCAAGTAAAACTGAGAAGAAAACTTTATTGCGCAAAACACGAAGACAAAATACTTGAATATTATTGTGAAACATGCAAAGAACTTTGTTGTATAGATTGTGTAGTGTTAATTCATACCAAACCAAACCATTCTTGTGTGGCAATGCGCGAGATCAAACAGAAACAAAGAGAAGCATTGCAATCAAGCTGCACAACACTTGATGAGAAATTAGCTGAAGGAAAGAAAGCATTAAACAACATTTGTGAGGTGATGAAGTCTCTTGAAAAGAATGCTAAAACGGCTAAAGATCAAATAAAAAAACAAAAGGAAAATATCTTGAACATTGTGGGAGAAAAACTTGACGAGAGAGCAAAGATAATGAATGAGGAAGTGGACAAGGTTTATGGTGAATTACACAGTAAACTGAGCAAACAACATGATGAAATGAAAGATTATCTTGATAAAGTCCAAGCTTCAGTGTCCTTGCCAAAAAATCTCGTAAAGAGAGGAAGTATCGAAGAAATTATGTCTTCACAAAAATTGATTGATGAGAAAATCGAGAAGTTGAGCAATCAACAACCAGAGAATCTGGCCGCAGTGAATGATGGTAGTATTCAGTATGTACAAGACGACGTTGGTAATATCAATGTTGATGAAATTGTTGATAAGTTAGGACATGTGGAAGGTATGTGAAATTTACGGTATATAACCGTCAGTACATTATAGAGTTTCAGATTCGACTTCTGCACTACCGCTACCACTAACGCACGATCAACTATTAATCAGATGTGTTTGATATATTTCATTAACCAATCGGATACGTACTAAGTCAGTGAAAAGTAGTCGTAGCGGTAGTAGAAGTCAAATTTGAACCTCTATAATATTATCGTCAGTATATACATAAATTATCTTCCTTTACAGAATAGGTATGTTAAGGGTACACAAGAATCGGGTTCCATCAGGAATTTTGATTGTTTTATGTCGAATTTTCAGGCCGGATCTAACTTAAAAACATGGTAGTAGGCTAACTGTGCAACTAATTAAATTTACCCATAATTTCCCAACACTTTGCTCCCTCCGAGTACGATGGTTTGGCATTGCACAGGTACTATGTCAAAATCAAGGGTGGGTAGTAGCGAAGTAGTTGTAGTTCGCTACTGTAGCGAACTACAATTTTCAAGTAGCCAGTAGTTTTTGACTACTTTTTCAAAACAGTAGCTGTAGTTATAGCGAACTACATTTTGCCTAAAAGTAGCCAAGTAGTTGACTACTGTTCAAACAGCAAATCGCTATTCGCTACTTTTTAAAATTGTTAGCAACTTGATAGAATAGAATGTTATTAAGACACAGTTTGCTTAAAATAAATACTCAATTTGCACGAATAAAGTATGCCGTGCAACTGTTCAAACTGTGCAAGTGCATGCCGTCTTATTTACTCGCGTAAGTCGATTTGTTATAGGTTACATTACAGCCTGAGCTATAGTAGATGTTCCAAATACAGTAAAATTAAAAAATATTGAGTAGCGAAATAGCGAAGTAGTTCGCTACATTTTTTAAGCAGTAGCTGTAGTCAGTAGCGAACTACTTTTGTTCAAAAGTAGCAGTAGTTGTAGCTGACTACATATTTTTGAAGTAGCTGTAGTTATAGCGAACTACAAAAAGTTTGTAGTCAACCCACCCTTGGTCAAAATACATACTATAGGATCCGGCATTGGAAAAACCATGAACAGTACCATTTGCCACAGGATGCATTGTGGCATGCCATGGCGGATTGACTATATGCTGTACAGTGGCAAATAGTCCTGCATGTTAACTTGGATGCGAGGCTCCTTATATAGTGGGAAACTCGTTGCTACTTAAGAATTTTAAGGACAAGAGTTAAAGAACATATGGCCTGATATTTACAAACACTTATCGCATAAATTTACAGCATACATACACTATAATTTCTTTCTTGATGACTACACTCCTGAATCACTAATTTTCAATAACTGTAATATATTAGACAAATCCAGACATTGCAGGTCATTGTTACTCGATCTATTTAGGAATCTCAATGTACAGCATATTTATCGCCAGAAACCGGCCTGTTTTCGAATCAACTAAAACCTTTAAAAAACTTGTAATCTTATATATATATACTAGCTTATCACATGTCATTTCATCTTTTAAACATTTGAGTTTCAGCAGCGTCATTCCTGATGATGACTGCAAGTTAGTCGAAACGTAGAATAAAAATGTTAACCGTTTCAGGGGTGTGTATTTTCTAAAGTCACTCAGTGGCAACTGCATGTAATGGAAACCGCTCTTCATACTACACATTAAATTTAGTTGCTATTATCTTCAGTTGTAAAGATCTTTTGTGGGTTATATAAAATTCATTGTTTACTGTAGGTGGTGTTTCTGTAACGCACAATCTACTAAAAAAGTCATCCAGTATTTTGAAAGGAGAGATTGCCTTCATGAAGCAACTACAGAAATGGTTGGGAGAGAAGTGTAAATGGAATCTTTGTTACAGAGCTTCCAGAGATGGTTGGAGTGCCCAAGATTTCCACAAACATTGTGACAATAAAGGGCCGACAGTGGTTTTGGTGAAAGCCAGTGATTGTATCTTTGGAGGATACACTGACCAACACTGGGCATCTCCAGGTATGTAAGAATATATATATATATATATATATATATATATATATATATATATATATATATATATATATATATATATATATATATATATATATATATATAATAATAATAATATTTGCATAATTTATGAGAGCTATACGGTATATATTTGTCCTGCAAGCCGGTTTAATACTATTTATTAATTAAGACTATGTTCGCACAAGGTTGGACGAATTCGGCAGCATACGCTGTGACGTGAAGTCAGTCGCGTTGGAACATTCTTAATTTGAGACATTACGTTATTATGCTGGGTCATACTTTTATTATATTTATCGTATAGGCTATGTAGTGTCTAAAAATAGTATTTATGTGATGTTCTATAAATATCTGTCGCATGGTATATAAAAGCAGCGAAAACTTAAGCTAGAAAGGATTAGAAATAGTAATTTGTTGTTGTTAATGTTTGCTGTTGTTCAAGAAGAAGAATTTGATATTGTTGGAGTTACTGTCGTCGCAAAGTTAACAAGACTTAAAGAACTATACACAAAAGTGTGAAAGGACAAAGTCTGAAAAGCAAAGCTTTGTCATTGTCAATAGACAGATAAGTTTAAACTTTAAACTATCCTGATTCTTCGTTCTTTTATTAATAAATAATTTAAAAATAAGGCCCGGTTTAGACGCCGTGCTTTTCATGAGCCGAACTTAATACAATGAATTAAGCACTAGGGTTGGGCGATATTAAAAAAATCATCTCACGATTATTGTCGAGCAAATTATGATCACGATATTCGATAATATCGCGATAAATGCAATAAAAACAATGACCACATTTTTCAATTCTAATTAATATCAAAGCATAGTAACCTTATACATAATCTTATTAAAAACTAATAAAACAACAAATTACAGTAATATGAAGGCTTTTTCTAGTCTAATATTTACTGTTCATAAACCTGAACTGTCTATGCAGTGTCTACTGTGTCTCCGCAGGCACAAATGCCGTTGGCACACAGCGCAAGCAAAGCCTAGCTGCAATTTTATTGTTCAGCGGCTTACTAACTTACCAAGGCTTACTAACTTACCAAGCCTTACTAACTTACCAAGCCTTACTAACTTACCAATGATTACTAGATTACCAAGGATTACTAGTTTACCAAAAAGTACTAGTTTACCAGTGATAGTAGGGATTATTTGGATGTATAAAAGTTAGAACGGTATATTGGTGAACGTAACACCAAGAATTAACCAATATATCGTATTAAATTCGTATTTAATTCAGGAAATAGTTTTAATTCTTTTAAAAACTATATTTTCTAGAAATTGAAGGAAATTTTTAAGGATTTTTATAAAAGCTATATACACATGCGAAGCAATATCACGATAGTCATCGAGCATGACGATGATTTCGATATATCGTCGCTGTAGTTTCTACCTTCGATACGCTAATCGCGATTGAAAATATCGGGATAAATCAAAATATCGAAATATCACCCAACCCTATTAAGCACATGAGAAGCACGGCGTCTAAATCAATTAAGCACTGCACTTATAATATTAAGCACGCCTAAATTAATAAGTTCGCCTGGTTCATGCGTGCTACACAGCTGAAGCACATGTTGATTTATACTGCCGTGCTTTACATGAGCCGTACCAAATGGATAAATTATGATAAAATAGAACATTTATAGTGCGCGAGCGTTGATTGGTCGAGAAGCTTGTTTCTACACGGGAAATTTCCCGCCTAAACTTACAACCATAAACAAAACAATTCTAATGCAAATTAAGCAACGTTAAAAACAACTTTAACTACTCAGCTCATTTTGTAACTATATATTATAGTCAAAAATACAAAATACAAACACGTACCTTCCCGCTTCCGCTTATAGCTTGTTTTGTATTTCGGTAATTTGTTCTATTTTTACTGTAGTGATTACCGCTTTATCGGCAAATATTGGGGTAGAATTTCCCTTTCTTTTCTTTATATACGTGAATTTCTAGCAAAGGATACACCTTTCGTTAGATTCTTTGCATAAAAGTTGCGAAATTAGGCTTATAGCGATATTTGCTGATAAAGGCAAAAAGCGGCGGTAATCGCTACAGAAAAATAGAACAAATTATAGAAATACAAAACAAATCACAGAAGCGGAAGTGGGAAGGTTTTTGTATTTTGACTGTGATTTTCAAACAAAGTTCTTTCTTGCAGTGAAATTGATGGATCGAGTCTACTACAAATCTTTTTTTAGTTATATTATGAAATAAATATTAACTGATTTATTATGTGTGAACCATACAGTTATAGAAACACTTGTAGTAGTTTGGGAGAACTCGAATAACGTGGAAAAACTCGCCCTAAGCCTATTGGTCTCGTTTTCCCATACATTATATCCAGGCATTATGCTATGTTTGTAGTAATAAGGCTTTTCAAAAAGCAGTTGAAATTTTTAATAACCGTAAACCTGTAGACGCTCAGAAGTGCCAAGATTGTATGTGATAAACCCTTTTTTCTTATTATGAAATGTCACTCGCCCCAGGTTTCGAAGTGAAGCAGCGCAAATTATTAAGTACGGCTCATGAAAAGCACGCCTGTCTAAATCAAAATTAGAAGTACGCCTATTTTACTCGAGTAAAATATGAATTAAGTTCGGTTCATGAAAAGCACCGCGTCTAAACTGGGCCTAATTAGACTCTTCTGCTTTTAAGTCTTTCTTGTTACGGTGAACGTAACTTGTTACGGTGAACGTAACAACGCAAATTCGTCCAGTTTCATTTGTTTACACGGGGATTCCTAGGGTTAGCTCTGTTTGATTTCGTCATGCAGTTACATGCGTCCGATGTGAACGCATGGATAAGGTGATAGTCGTGAAATTGAGAGTATGGTTTAGAATTCGTCCAGTCCCATGTGAAGGAGGGTCAATTGGGTCATAATCATCCCAATCATGTCCAAAAGTAAATATTATAGAAACTATTAAATATTTTATTAAAATTTAATCATTAATTTTGTTCAATTTTAAGGTGGTGTTTATAAGCATTCCAACGCGTCATTTTTATTCTCCTTACGCAACAAAGACAACCTCGCTCCATTTATTGCCAACATCAAGCAAGGTCAGGAGCAATATGCAATCTTGTGTAATTTTGGTTATGGACCAATCTTTGGTTCAGGTAATGATCTGGTCATTTGTAACAATCCGGAAGTTAATCGATCATACAGCAATTTTGGATCCTCATACCAACTTCCTCCTGGTTATATCAATAACAGTGAACAAGCAAAGAACCTTCTTGCTGGTCAGTACTATTTCGTAACGACAGAAATCGAAGTCTTCAACTGAAAAGTGCATTTGTTTACTTACTTCAACGGAAAATAACATTACATTGATTACGACCGCTCTTAGCAATCACTTTTGGACAGTGATTTTGCAATGTTATAAAGTATTAAGAATTAATGTGAATATTCTGAGTCATGCACTGTATGAATTTTATAAATTAAAATTGGTCTTTGCCTCAACAGTAGCGGTTACTGGAGTCAACAAATGAAAGGCCTCGAAGAAGACTTGTGAAAAACCGATTGTTATACAGCCGACGGTAATCAATTATCTAATCAGCATATAGCCTAGGGAAGCCTCACATATCGATTTTTTCCACGAGAAACGTCATATGTTTGTTTGAGGGTGGGGGGTTGGCAGCTGTGACGTTTCTCTGTAAACATCATGGAAAAATTCGATAGTTTTTATCTTTGCAGAATATAAAAAAGAAAACAATTTGATACAAACAGCAGTCTATATATTCGTAATACGATACCTGTTCTATACCTGTACATTTATATTATTACGCCTTCCTTGCATTGAAAACACTCAAATTTCAAGAAAAACGCGCTAAAATTACCAATATTTCATGCAAAAAAAGTTGTTTTGAGAAACGTTGGAAATTTTGAAGTTCATATATATATTAATAAAAAAAGAGTATGTCAGCAGAATATGACATATTCCTCAAGGAAGCATCGCCAATAGCCGACCAAAAAAAAATAGTAGAAAATTACCTTATGTGTACTCATAGTGTACTGTAAGAACAAAATATCGATAATAATAATAATAATAATAACAAACTTTATTTAAAGAAGGTGCAATTATACAAAAACCAGTTTAGCAACGCTAATCTTACACTGGGCCTTCTGTTCAACTGTTATCGTCTACTTATTACACATTTACTATTAAAACTACACATTAAATTGGACATCAGTACAACAAGAACATATATAAGTCTTACAAACAAATAACTTATATATATAAGTATCTAAAAAGTATTTATAGGCTCTTATTTTAAAGGAGCTTAATGACGTTGATTGTCTGGTCGCACGTGGTAAACTGTTATATAATGTTGCACCACTGAATTTCAACGTTTTCTGCCTAATTGTTAGTTTCGTTCGCGGTATCCACAGTTCGTTGCTCTCTGAGCTTCTTGTAATTCGTTTTGTCACTGATGACTTTAAGACAAATAAGTCACTTATGTACTTGGGTACCCAGTTGTTTAATGATTTATACACCATTATTGCTGTTCGTAGCATTACTCTTTGCTGTATAGGCAGGACTCCAGCAGCTTTAAATAGTGGCCCAGAAGAGGTTAGCTTCGGTTTGTCGTAAATAATTCTCAGAGCTAACTTTTGGAGTTTATGTATGCGAATAATATGACATGATTGTCCCCAAACTGTACAGCAATAATCTACATGAGGTTGTAAGAAACACTTGTAGTAAATTACTCGGTGACCAGTAGGCAAATATTTTTTGATCTGTCTCAGAAGATGAATTCCTTTAATTAGAGATTTTGCTACTTTGTCAATCTGCTGTTTCCAGGAAAGATGTTCATTCATAACAACCCCAAGTATTTTCTCATTGTTGGTATTCTTTAACTGGACACCGTTAAATTCTACTCGTAGATTTGAAGTTAATGTGGCTGCGCGCTGAGATGTTGTTATCATCATTGCCTTCGTTTTACCGTCATTTATTACCATGTTGTTGTTAGTACACCAAGCTTGAACGTTTTTCATATCCTCAGTTAATTTATTATTGAGTTCCTCAACTGTTCTAGCACTTGTATGGATTGTCGAATCATCAGCATACATGTCTGTGTTGGAATTGGCATATAGTGGAAGATCATTGATAAACATTATAAACAATAAAGGTCCTAGAATACTTCCTTGGGGGACACCATACAGAGAAGATTTCTTAGATGACAAAGTTCCTTTAAAGTGCACACATTGGTCTCTTTCTTGCAGGTATTACTTAAACCAGGATAATGTCAAATCATCACATTTGTAAACTGCAAGTTTTCGTAATAACAAATCTGTATCTACCATGTCGAAAGCTTTGCGTAGATCAATAAATACTACCCCATTTATGAGGCCGCTCTCCATGTTGGATGTCCACATATCCACAAGTTTGCATAGCGCTGTTTCACACGAGTGATTTCTTCGAAAACCAGATTGGGCATGATGTAATAGTTATGACTCACGAGAAACTGGTAAAGATGATTGTGAATATGACGCTCGAGAACTTTACTGACAGCGCAGAGTATGGCTATGGGCCTGTAGTTGTTGACATCACATTTGGCACCAGATTTGTAGATTGGGGTAATTTTTGATGTTTTCCATTTTGTCGGAAACATTCCGGATGATAAACTTTTATTGAAAATCTTAGTCAGAGATGGAGCTATTAAATAGGTTGACATCTTCAAAATCTTGTGACTTAAGCCATCAAGTCCGGTTGCTTTGTGAGTGTCTAAGTTACGTAGATAACTACAAACCTCTTCTTCAGTTAGTTGTGGAATACTAAAGGCATCATCACTATTAATTCTTGAGTTCACCATTTCAGATAGTTTATCAAAGTTACTAGAAAATTGTTGAACCGCAACATACTGGTTAACAATGGTGGAGAAAAAGTTGTTGAAATGTTCACACATATCTTCAGGGTCCGATATGCTGGAGTTGTTTGAGTTATTTCGTAAACTTGACGGTGCAGTTTTAAGATTTGTTGGAATAATATCACGTAGATATTGCCACAATTTCTTCGAATCACCTTTATGATCTTCAACACAAGTTTTATAGTAGGTAGTTTTTGCATCCCTGATTAACGACACACAACGGTTTCTGTAGGTCTTATAATTTACCATTTCGTTGATCGATTTGAAAGGATCCCTTTGGGCCATACACTGAATAATCTCGTAGGTCATCCAATCAGGTTGTTGTTGTTTTTTCACTCGTTTTTCTCGCAAAGGTAAATGTTTGTCAATCACATCAAGGAATAAATTGTACCACGCCTCTAAAGCATTGTCAACATCATCAAATATATCGATTGTGTCCCAAGGGATTTGAGATAAGTCTTTACAAAAGGCTTCTTCGTTAAAGTTTTTATAGCAACGATACTTGATGGTCGTGTGTGAATGTTTCCTACCAAAACTATCTTTAAATACTACGCAAGTTGGATAATGATCACTAATTCCAATTCTTGGGACTTTAACGCTTCTAATTTTATGTGGGACGGATGTAAATACGTGATCTAGGAGTGTAGATGTATTTTCTGTAACTCTTGTTGATTCTGTAGCAATCTGGTGAAGATGTAAGTCATCCATAGATTCCAACCAACATTGAGAGTCACTGGTATTTTTCGAAACATCGATGTTAAAATCTCCCATTATTGTTAGTTGATGACCTTCCACATAAGCATTATTTAGTTGCATTTCAAAGTTTTCAATCCATTGCGATATGGTGTACTCAGGACATCTATATGCTACACAAATAAGGTGAGCCGGACTATTAGGTGGGCAAAGTTGTAACCAGATCGATTCAACATTGATAGATTCAAAATCATTTCTTCTAAAATAGGGAATGTCCTCCTTAATGTACACAATAATTCCGCCAGCATGGTGCTTATCAATTGGTATTGTTTTTGAAGATCTGTTGCTTCTTTCGTGTGTATAACCATTGATTTTAATACATGTATCATCAATTGACTCGTCTAACCAAGATTCCGTAACACCTAGAATGTGTGTTTCGCTGCCTGGGTCCTGTAGAATTAGTTTTATTTCATCTAGCTTAGTGTTATTAATTCTCGGTGCTAAACTTCGCAGATTCCACTGAGTGATTCGAAGTCCGCTTGGCAAGTCACTACACAGAGATGGATAATGGGAGTGTGCGTCGTTGTAAGTCCCATCAGGTAATTTTGTAGTACTCTGGGCATTGAAGGAAAGACACCGGAAATATTTACTACCTGGGACCTGGATTGATAGCAACGTCTCTTGATAACAAGATCCATAGGAGCAGGTGTAGATTGTTGTTAATTTGAAACTGTAGGCCATAATGATAATTACTGGACAATGAACATTTCCTTAAAATAGTATCACGCGTTGAAATCCAAATATAGCTTAATCGGCCAGATATTGATACAAGTTCCGAGGAAATAATAGAATTCTGCGGCGTTGATGAGGATTTCTGAGGATCTATTGCTGGTTTAGAGCGTGAAAATAGCCAAAACGTTACAGCAAGAAGCAGCAGCCAATTAGAGATTGAATTGAACAAGCATCGGCGGGTTATTAAATTCATTGTATTGACTTTTTAAGGGAAATCCCCAAGAATGAAACCAAATAAGTTTGTCAAGTCAAAGGTCAATAGTGAGCATGAAAAGTATATTACCACAAGATCAATAGCCAAATGTAAAAACAAATCGCGATAATCAATTCAAAATGTTAAGAGTAAATAGACAAACAAGATTCAAATGCTGAAATTTGCCTTTAAATGAAGAAAACTCGATTATAGGTACATAACGATGTTGCCATGACGAGTGACGCAAGACGCAAATAATTTAAAAATTCCAACCGTCAAAATTTAAAAGAACGCGAATTATGTAAATTGTATTTATCATGAATACACCAAGACTTTATATGACAGCAGGAACAAAATACGTAATGCACAGGGAGAATTTGGGACAAATCCAGTAAGTAGAAAACAAGATAATGACCAACAAACCAAATTCACGACTTGTAAATGATAGACACCACGACACGACAGATGACCACGGTAATAAAATCCCAAATATATGCGTAATTTTACAAACAAACAGCACGAAAGATATATCCACGGAGTCACAAGAACGTTATATTACAACTGATACTAAATTAGCATCGCTCCAGAGAGAAATGAGGTTAAACGAGATACAATTTTATAGACACCGCTCGGCCACGTTTAGGCTACGCTACGTTCTTTTGACCACCTATCCGTAACAGGATTATTTACATCAACAGCCATAAAGAAGCACCCAAATAAACAGCAATTTGCGAATATTTAATTTGTTGCGATTTGCAAAGGTTGCCGTTCCAACTTTGTAAAATTGAAAATTGTGAACTTTTGTCCTCTATTTCCAGCTTGTAGCCATCCAAGTTTACTCACATAAAATGACTTTTGCTTTATAAAGGCTGGTTCATCGGAAAACTTTTAAGTTTCGTTGGAAAAAATGTACAAAATCGATGAAATTGATACTATTCGCTCGCAGTAAGCGACCATCTTGAATTCAGCGACGAATAGTAAAGACGTAACTTTTATTTTTTATTAATGACGTAATGTTCATTGTGGCTAACGATCCAAGATCCGACACAAATGCGTGCCGAAACCTAGAGTCGCTGCGGGCTGTGCCCCAGCGACTAATAAATGTGTACTGGGGGTCGGCTAGAATGGACGAAAGAGGCATTTTCAGAGGGTCGAATTATCCGAGTCTGTTTTGGATGGGGCTTTCACGCGGTGTTTTGGGTGATCCGGAACCAGTCCATGGCTGGTAATCAGACTTGAAATGTGCGAAAGAGGAACTTTTTAGGTGTTTTGCGGGGGTGGGGGATCTAACGAAATAAATGGGTGCTTTGGGGTGGATAGAACTGAGGAAAGTCGCATTCTCAGAGGGGTGAATTATCCAGCCCCCCCCAGTTCCTATATATATATATATATATTCTTGTTCGAATCACAATCCAAGACACTATTTAGAGTGTTATTTTCAAGTTTGTATCTGCAGATTTGCAACTTTTATTTCGGTATTTCAATATATATTTAAATTTTACACGAGAGCTTCGACCGGAAATACTGCTTGACCACCTTAACATATTGAAACAATGCGATGTTCAATTTACATTCTGGCACTCAGGAAACGTCGGAAGTCATATGTAACGTGATTTGCACGTACAACGGGGCTACGGTGTTCATTATTGGCCAATTTTAGCGTCGCACGCGCGTGCTAGTAACAACTCGATATTCTGAAAATTTCAAAACAAATATTTCTAGTCCTCCGTATTCAAACGAAGCTTTCTACAGTACAGAATGTGTGGCGAAGCGGTGAGTAAATATACGATTGTTTTGGTTTGTGTAATTTTATGATGGCATTTGACCGACCGTTCGAAAGGTTGTTTTATGAGGATTTCAACGGTGGTTTTTGTTTTAAAGGGAATGTAAATATAAACCGGACGTCATTAACGTTCTTTGTTTTTGTTCCAGTAGACGCCATGTACGCTACAGCGTACCTATTTTTACCAATTGTTCCCAAATCTTGACATACTGTTTAGCGCATTTTCGACTTAGTTCAATACATTTTACTATAAAGCACGTCTACACGGTATCTAAAGATAACTCAACTTTGCTGCTTATTATTAAAGCAATTAAAATAGCTACCAAAAAATGCAAACACAGTTTTTTTTCTTTGATCAATTTTGATACGAAACATGCAATTTCGGATGTTCGTAGATAAAACTGACGTTTCTTAATTCTCGTGGCGCAAATATAAGGGTGCGATTAACTTTAAAAAGCTCTCAATGCAACTACAAATTATTATATTATTATTATTAAGTTTTTATTATAGATATAGCCACAACAGACGTGTGCATGACTTCACAAGAAAAACTATCATATTATAATACTACACACTAAAACGGGTACAAAAATTCAAATAAACGAGTAAGTAGAGCGAAGAAAAACAACCTACCAGGCGACTCATAAACTCGCCATGACACATATTCGTAGCTCTGAACATACGGTGTTTTGCCGCTCTTTAACTGGAAAAGAACGTTTTGTTTCTACAATTAATGTTCAAAATCAGATTTCTGAGTCTGATTTCAAAGTTATTTCTTCTGGTACTTCGGAAAGTGATTCACTTATTCGTAAGAGCTTTAAAGTTTCACTATTCAAATTTAATCCAGTAGACCTACTAAATATTATAACATCATGAGCAGGCGTAGCGAGCTTTCGTTCGAAGTTGCGCAGTTCCTATACTTCCTTTGGGAGTCTGGGACTGCACGCAGGCTACCTAACAGGGAATTTTCGAAACATGAGGACGTACCATAATTCTTCCTAATATTTTCACTCTTTTAAAATTTTCCTTTAATCATTTAGCCGCTTTCACTTTCGTGGAATTTGTACCCAACAGAATCCCAATGTATGTAAAAATACAAATCTAATAAAAATCTAATCTAATCTAATAAATTCAGCATGTAAAAATATGTAAATAGATAGTCAAGATCCTTTACACGTCTTTACATGTAACTATATCGTGTGCAGTTGTGTTAACTCCCTTACCTTTCCAATTCCATTCTTCGTTTTTTCTTGATGGAATATTGAATGAAGGAATGTCGAAGAGTTGGTCATAAATAGCCCTATCTGCAGAGAGAAATTACAAGTGATTGAAACTGATTTTGGAAGCGTACACACGTAAAAACACGTAAAAAAGTTGTTGCAAGTCTGCAAAATAAGTTGTTACAAATCTGTTTACAAGCTGTCGAAATATAAGAAGTATAAGAAACAAATTTGATAGCTTTAAATATTTAACTGAATCACTAATCAAGAATATAAATATAATAGGTCTTATTGAAACGTGGCTTAGCAATAATGACTGTGAACAATATTATAAATTAGAAGGATATGAATTTATAGGATTGAATAGGGAGACTAAAAAAGGAGGGGGAGTTGATATATATTAATTAAAGAGCATATAAACCGCAAAAAACGTGAGGACCTAACCACAAATATTGAAGATATCATTGAAAGTGTTTGCATTGAAATATGCACAACCGTAGGGAAAAATATTATCATTGCAGTAATTTATAGACCACAAAATACGGGAACCACCGAGTATTTTGATAAAATACAAAACAATAGATAATCCGAAAATTGAAAGCATTTTGAAAAATTGTTTTCAATGGTTTTCAAAATGCTTTCAATTTTCGGAGTATCTATTGTTTTGTATTTTATAGACCACCAAATAACAAAATTGAAATATTTGAAAATGCAGTGAATGATTTATTGAATAAAATTGTTCGAGAAAACAAAAACTGTTATCTTATGGGAGATTTCAATATAGACTTACTTCAGTCAGAAACCTGTGATATTGCTAATAGGTTTAGTGAGCAACTTTTTACCGCCTCTTTTTACCCAATTATAACCAAACCAACCAGAATCACTGAACATACTGCTACTCTAATTAATCATATTTCCACTAATAAAATAAATAAAATAGACTCAAGTGTAAATGGAATTATTTTCTATGACATCTCAGATCCTCTACCCATATTGCATGTGTGTGACCTCAATGCAATCCATTTAAATAAACGTAACAAAAAAATAATAGACATTAGATAATTCAATAATGCAAACATAAATGTTTTCAAGCAAGCTATTAATGAAATATCTTGGCCAAGTATTTTTTCTGATAACTCAAATAATATAAGTTTTCCAACCAAAAAAAGTCATTAAAAATTCAATTGATAAAAGTAAAAGTCCTTGGACGACAAAAAGTGTCTTGAAATCAGTGAGAACAAAAAACAAACTATATAAGGCTTACTTACTAAACAATAGCAAGAAAAATCAAAATTTATACAAAAAGTATAAAAATAAGCTAAACCATGTCATTAAAGTATCAAAGAAAATGTATTAATAAATATGAAGAACACTTAATAAAATATAAGCATGATACTAAAATGATTTGGAAAACACTAAATAATATTCTGAACAAAAAACAAAGAAAACAAATTTACCAGCCGTTTGCTGATAACACGTCATCTAGCACTATAGATGACCCTATAAAAATTGCAAACAAATTTGATGACTATTTTGTAAATATAGGACCAAAATCTAGCTAAGAAAATTAATAACACTAATATAACATTTGATAAATACCTCACAAACAGCATCCTTAACAGCTTATTTCTGGATCCAGTTACAGAATATGAAATAAGAAGTGAAATAGAAAAACTAAACACAACCAAAAGTCCTGGACATGATGGTCTTAGTGCAAAATAATAAAACTTGTGACAAATGAAATCTCTAAACTAATTACACAAATATTTAATCAAACATTCCTAACTGGCAATATTCCCCTTGAACTCAAAATAGCGTTGGTAGGGCCGATTTATAAGTAAAATGAAGAGAACAAATTTGAAAACTATAGACCAATTTCAGTTATCACTTGTTTTGCAAAAATACTAGAGAAAATTATGTATAAACGTCTCATAAATTTTGTTGAAAAAAATAATATTCTATCAGAACACCAGTATGGATTTCGCAAGAATAGATCAACTGAACTCGCTATAATTGAATTTATTGATAAAATAACAAAAGCAATTGGCAAAGGACAATATCCAATTGGCATTTTCCTTGACTTGTCAAAAACATTTGATACTATTAATCATAGCATTCTCATTAAGAAATTAGAATACTGTGGAATTATAGGTGTTGCTCTTAAATGGTTTGAGAACTATCTAGCCAATAGAAAACAAATAGTTAAGTATAATGACACTAAGTCAGAAGCAATGACAATAGCTAGTGGTGTTCCTCAAGGCTCAATTTTGGGGCCACAATTATTTTTATTGTACATAAATGATATCCAAAATTGCAGCAAACTAGTTTCCAAAATATTGTTTGCAGATGACACAAATATTTTCCATAGCCATTCTTGCTTAAAAGAGTTAAATTTAATCATGCAAGACGAAATAAATAAAATAGCAGATTGGATTAGCAGCAATATACTATCACTAAACATATGTAAAACAAAATTTATTTTAAGTTCTTTGTATGTTTGCATGGTGATAAAATATAATAGGTTTTGTTTGTGGAAACACAGTAATAAATTTACGTGGTGTTTCCACAAACAAAACCTATTAAAATTTATTTTATTTAAATCATTAAATAAAAGGATTAAACATAATACAATAATATCGATAAATGGACAACCAATAAAATAAATTAAAAATACAACTTTCCTTGGTGTTGTTATTGATGAACATTTAACATGGAATGATCATAAAGATTTAATTACGAAAAAAGTTATAAAATCTACAGGAATAATATCCAAAATTCGACATTTCACAAATTTTGAGACTCTTAAACTAGTCTATTATGCTTTAGTTTATCCTTATTTAATATACGGAAATTTGATTTGGGGAAACACATATAAAAAACGACTATACAAAAATTAATAAACATTCAAAAGAAAATAATACGATTAATGATGTTCAAGTCATATTCTGAGCATTCTGAACCACTATTCAACGAAGCAAAGATTCTTAACATTGGAAACGTTAATGATTTTCTGATCAATTTATTCATGTTTCGATATCACTACTTGGATAATTTATCAAAATATTTAACCAATTACTATGTTACTAACAACAAAATACATGAACACAATACAAGAAACGCATCCAAACTTCATAAGTCATACTCCAGAACTAATTTTGTCAAACATTCACTTCAAAATAAGGGTGTAAATGTATCTGGAATGAGATAAATACTGACTTAAAAATTTAAAATCCTATTGCACATTAAAAAAAAATTCCAAAATCCACTTCTTGCTGTTGCATTCGGAAACATAGATTTTATTATATGTATGTTTCTCATTATTTTAAACATTATAAAAATTCTTCAATCTCATCTTCTTTTTTTTCTTTTCTATCAAACTTACTTTTAGTTCTGACCAATCAATGTAAATAATTCAATACTTTTAACTTAGGGGTCTTAATCAAAAGCCTTTGTTTGGTTTCTAGTAGACCTCTAGCCCTATTTCTGCAATTCTATATTCTATATATATATATATATATATATATATATATATATATATATATATATATATATATATATATATATATATATATATATATATATATACGAGTAGGTTTATGAATACGAAACGCAAAGAGTGCCCAATATCATAAAGATAGAGCAAATGTAGAATTTCGCTTACCTCAAAATTCCGCAACAGTCTGTTTCATCAGTAAAGAATCATCAGGCGGTATATCTTAAATTCAACGATGTCAAACGAAATAAAACTATGTCTTTCTTTGTCTTTTATATTTCCAAACCATTCAATTACTTGTTTTGTATTTCTCCACTGGTTCAAATTCAGTTTTTGTCTCAAATTGGAATTAATTTCATCTAAACTGAATAATTTTGCTCAATTTTCCTGATTCGCTTTTTGCGGGATTAATTAGCCGGCATTTTGGATTGTTCTCGAAATTTTCTTTGTGGTCTTTTAAATATATAAATGCTTCACGTTTTTTCATTTTTTCAATTCTGTCGCCGATTCCTAAATTGTTCGAAATGTCTTTTAGTTCAGAGTCAATTTCGTCTATAGTGTCCTCGGATCCATGTTTATATGTTTTTGTAATGTTGTCATGTAAGAGCTTGTTGTATGTGTCGAGCGAGGCTTCATAAATATTTCTAGTTTTGTCTGCAAAAATGAAAATGTTGGGAGATGAATTAATTTTCTTCAAATCGTTAGCCAAAGATTTCTGAAAATGGTTTTTCTCTGATCGAAATTGTATATTTTCGATGAGTTTTATAAGGTCGGTTTCGAAAGGTTTCATTTCCGGAATCGAAGAAGGTGTTTTGTTGGACGCAAGGCCGAAATGGTTGTTTTGGTTCTTGTTGATACTGTTTTTATTAAAGAAATGAGCTTTCCATCTCATACGTTTTATTACACTTTCCACTTTTTCAATCAAATTCTTCAAATAAGCGTCCTGCGATGGTATAGGAATACTCTTTAACGAATAGTCAAATCGAAATTGTCGCATTATGAAGTTAGTAAGAAATGAGAAACGTAAACTAGAGTGCACGACCGATATACGGGTGCGAATGTACGAGTAGGTTTATGAATACGAAACGCAAAGAGTGCTCAATATCATAAAGATAGAGCAAATGTAGAATTTCGCTTACCTCAAAATTCCGCAACAGTTTGTTTCATCAGTAAAGAATCATCAGGCGGTAT